TTCTGGTTATAAATATACTAATACGTACCAACTGTAGAAAATTTGAGAAATACAAAAGGAAATAAACTCCCCCGACACCCCATAAAAGGTAACCACCTACCACCACGGTGACTATCGGGCCTTTTTCGATATATTTCTTTTCCACTGTCTCTGTGCAACTTACAAACCATCTACCTCTCTAGCTACTTTCCTATCTATCTACCAACTACATACACATATATTTTTAAAATTACTTTACTATTTCTCTGTTTCCACGGCTGGAGAAGAAGTAAAAGTCAGTCCTCTGAAAGAAAAGAATGGAGATGTGCAGAGACAAACCAAGATGAGGGCTGGACCTACAGAGACAGATGAGGGTAAACGGGGGAGGGAGGAAGGAATCTGAGGAAGAGACACAGGACACTGATTCACCTCCTTGATTTCTGACATCTTTCTGGATCTTGACTGTGAATTCCCTCAAGTGGTGAAACTACTTACATTCCACAGCTGCAGTCACATCTCTCATGAAAAATAAGACCTACAGTTCCATGCGAAACCCATTGTTTCTCTCTGATTCTACTTTTAAAAACTCCTTGAAAAAGCAGATGAGGATCTGATCCAACCTTCTTTAGTGTGACCTTCGCACACACAGCCCCTGCCACTCACCTCCCCTGCTGTTTCTCACTGAAGGGGTTCCTGGCACAGTGGGGGCCCCTCCTTGTAGGTGACCACTCGCACTTATTTCACTTTCTGATGGCAGCCACGCATCCCCCCCCCCCCGCTAGGCACTGCGATTCTTCGGAGCCCCGTTTCTCAAATCGTGCCGGCAATAAAAATTCTGTCATCAACACCGAGTAAGCAAAACCCGCTGTCCCACAAATGGGAACAAAAGTACCCACTGTTCAGTGCATAAAATTCATTCCTTTAAAATAGTAGTTTATTCTTAGCAACCCTTGTTGCTGACTATGTTGAATCCATTGGCTCGGTCATCAGTCAAGCATCTCTTTACAAATGAATATTGAGTGTCTTGTGCAGTAAAAAGAGCCAAGGCTCTGTAGGCCGCCAGAACTGAGTTCAAATTTTAGCTCCGTCATTTAATAGTTTTGGGATATGGAGCGGGTAAGCTAATTTCTCTGAACAGATGTTTCTACACAGTCCAATGGGAATGAAAAGACCTATTTTATAAAGATGTTGTGAAGGGTAAATAACTTTTAAAACATATAGTTTTGACTCAACAAATGTTTTCTCCTTGTCTTTATGCGCTACAGAGCTTAAAGGTGAGTAAGAAATAGATGCCCCCCCAGGAGAACCTTATAAGCTAAAAAGGGAAATGGTTCAAATTATAGAAATAATTAGAATACATTTCAAAAGTGATTAGTGATCGAAGAGATAAAAAATGCTGTTTTGGGTCAAGTAAGAGATCATATCTGGTTAGAGGGTCCCAGAAGATTCCACAGTGGAAGCAGCTATTGAACTAAACAGACTGACTTAGGACTCGGTAGACGGGTGAGAGGCAGGAACTTGCTGTAAGAGGCAGAAAAGGCTTTCCAAACACAGAGGACAGGTGGAACAAACGATACAGAGGAGATGACAGTGATGACGATGACAATGGTGGCAACAATGCTGGTGTCCAACACTCATGCCAGCTGAGTGTGTTCCAGGCACCATGCTAAGTGTTTACTTAATCCTCATCCACCTTCATCCTCCACCCTCATCCTCATAATGATCCTGGAGGAAACTGAGGTGCACAGATGTTAAGTTCCTGCTCAGGGTCACAAAACTAGGGAGTAGCCAGGTAGCATTCAAGGCCAGGCAGTCTGCCCTTGAACTCGCCCTCAGAGTCTAACTGCAGCAGCAACAATAGAACGCATCGCCCAGGAGTCCACGAAATGACAATCATCTTTACAAATTATTAACCTCAACCTTAAACCAATGAATAAATATGTACTTTATCCCTGTATTTTCATATCTGATAATGAAGGCAGAACTCTTTCAACATCATTAAAGGACTGTAATTATTCATTTATGTTTTAAAGTTATTTTAGTAAATTGTAATTGGAACTAACTATTCATTCAGGAAACCCTGCTGACATTTACTACAAGGTAGCTGACAGGTATATCCAGGTACCACAGTGCATTTCCAAAGGTAATCTTCTCTAAAGCTTCAGTTGTTCCTAAAGAAAAAACTTAAAAAGAAAGAGAAAAAGGGAGGAAAGAAGAGAAGGGAGAGATCTGTCAACAACCCAGTAGATGAGAGAGGGAGACATGGAGGAAAACGTCTCAGAAAACCTCGGGCTCTCATTCCTGCTCCCCCCATCCACACTTTGACAGGTCTCTTGACCTTTCAAGAATCAGAGCACTGAGTTTTTGTTTTTGTTTTTGTTTTCACTCTTCACCCAAGGGTATGTTCGTGGGTCTTTGGGAGAGAGGAAGGGTGAGAGAAAGAGACACACTGATGTGAGAGAGAAACACGGACTGAGCACCTCCCGTATATGCCGAGACCAGGACTGAACCTGCGGCCTGGGTGTGCATCCAGACTGGGGACTGAACCCACAGCCTTTCGGGGCGTGGGACAGGGCTCCAACTGAGCCGCCTGGCCAAGGTGGGGCACTGCAGGTTTAAGATTCCCTGGCTCTAATCTGATGGCCAGTCACAACTGTACAGATTCAAAAGTCCTGCAGTCCATATCCAGTCACAATTTAATGCCTTCATTTGATACTTCATGAAGATGTGATGACTTGGTAAGTTTTTAACATATCTTTTCGGAGAGTCACTTTTCATGTTTGCAGTAAATGAGAGCCCTGACTGACAGGTGACAATTGCCTGGCACACCAATTTCTAAGCTGCTAAAGCTCTTGCAGCAAAAGGAAACTATAAGCAAAGAGCGCAGTTCTCAGCCTTTTTACCCAAAGCTGGAGTTGTTTTCTCCCTCACACTGGAAGCTCACTCCTAATATCCCATGACCTTAAATTTATAAAAACAAGTATGAAATCCTTTGAATTTATCTTAAATATGCCTACAACAAAAAGACAACCACAATAAAATTAATCTCATCCCCTAGATGCAAAAAAAGGTAACCATTTAGTTAAAATGATGCCCAGTGATATGGCGCCAGGTAGCATTTAAAATATTCCACTCTCACAAAGGTAAAACTTGGATATTTTTGGATTCCTGAAAGAGGCTAAAATTTTGAAGATTAGGTATGATAGCTGGTTTCATCTAGAAACCAAGAAAGTCGTTTAATCACCTGTTTGATTATCACCACTTACCTTCATTACGAGAGTACATTATAATTGGTTTGATTACTGGATTTGTCAATTACACAGTCAATACCAATCAAGCAAAATGAAATACTTAAGGAACCAATGGCAGAAAACTAATATTCTTTTTCTCAAATAATTATCGCAATTTTAATATAACTGGTTTGTACGTGGAAATAGAATCCTGCAAGTGTTGAAATGATTTGAAATAGGTATGAAATTGAAGCTGGAAAGAGTAAAACTGAGGGAGGGGTGTTGGGGGTGGTTACTTCCATTATCCAAGGGCATTGGATTCTGTATGGATACTTCGTCACAACATCCTGTCGCTCAACCACAGATCCCTAACACTCACAGAGTAAACCCTAGCCTGCCTGGTAAAGAATGAAAGCTTGCAATAACAGTCTGGAATAAAGATTATTAGATTAATCAAGAAACTACTTTGATCTTGAGTTTATTCATATTCCAAAGTTTGGGAACTCTTTGAGTAAATTTTTATATAAGGAAAACATGAAGCATTTTAAAGAAAACTACAGAGTAAAAACATTCAGTTGTTAGAAATAACATTGTTTTATTTAATTTTCTGGTATTATGATAATCATAACTGCAGACTACTGGCCTATGTCATTTCAGTAAACACTTTGGGAGGAATTAGATACCAGGCTTTTCCTTCCCCCAAGAAAACGAAGGACTAACACAAAAAAAAATTGTCATTTCTTTCTACCCCACTAGAGGGTAGTCTCTCAAAACTAGGGCTCCATCATGAATTTAGTCTATTTTTGACCTGTTGATAAATTAATCCCATGTTTCATTCTTCTCAATAACATGCTTTACTAGTATGCTAATTAAGGTGGTACAACAAACATGTTTAAAAATTGTTCACTATTTACTCACAGATGTTCTTTCAGAAGTATACAATGTTATGCTTTTCCCCAATTTCTGATAATTCAGTAAGTCTTTTACCTAATTCAGTGTACATAGCACATTTTCCTGGAAAATATACATTCCGAGTTAATAGGTCTAAGAACAAAGAAAAATCATTTCCTTGAGTATTTAATATGTTACCGTGGAAATACTGGCCCAGAATGGTAGAACATACACCCTGAACACACGTGCACACATGCACACACCCAACGCCCCACAGGCTCCGGCTCCCGTGTGGCTGGCAGGTTCAGTGCATCACATGAGGAGAAGTGAGTGAATGTAATTGGAAATACACATTCTGCAAAACACCCCCTCGTATGCCAGTGTTGTGAACATGCTTTATTTTTAAAAATCTGGTCAACCCAGATAGAAAATGCCACTGCTTTAAAAACAATGTTGCTGAACAGCAAGCGCATATGCTGAAACTGGGAGGACCTATGGAGAGGCGAGCGCCACGCCAGCAGCCCCGGGCGGCTCTTCCCCAACGATGCGGCTTTGCCTCCTCTCCCAGAACTCCGAGGAGAAGCGGTCGGAGGCTCTGAGACCCTCAGGGCGTGGGGGCAGGGTGGGGGTGGGGGGGTTACCCTTTGGGAAATTCTTGTAAGTGGTGTACCCAGCTATTTTCAGAGAGAAAACAGTTTCTCTAAGACTGATAACCTAAAAAAAAAGGAAAAACTTGTCCAAAAATTCCTCCCCCTCCAAAAAAAGGGGGTGGGGGGAAGGGTGGAAAGAAGGCAAGGAGTTGGGGGAGGGAGGCAGGGAGGGAGGGAGGGAGGGGCGCCGATCCCCAGAACATGTGCAAACCTGCTTCATTTATTCTACCCTAAGCAGCAGGGACACAGAACAGACAGGTCGTTTCAGCCAACCAGGCGGCAGCAGCTGCGAGCGCCCCCTGCCGGCATCCCGGAGCCATTGGCTCCTCGCAGGGAGTGGAGGTGCTCCGTTATTAATGACCACCGAGCTGGCAGCACCATGTCAGCGCGACAGCTGATGGGGTGAGCGATGCACCACTAGCCAACTACCATGGAGTCGGGGAGCAGGCCCGTGAGCCCCGGGGACCGGTCCTGTCGGTGCGGGGAGCCCCAGCCGGCCGACTGAGCGCGATTCCGGGACGGGCGAGGCCGTCCGAGCGCCAGCGGCCCGCCTCCCTTCCCATCGGGGAGCGCCGAGCTGGAGGCAGGCGTGTGGGCGCGCGTGCACACCTACAGCACATGCCTGTGTGTACTCGATCACACACACGCACCTCTTCACGCCCGGCAGGAACACGGCCATGTGATGCCCGCAGCTCGGGAGCCGGCCGATCCACACGCAGAGGCGCCGAGGTGCTGCTGTGCTCGCCGCGCCGGCTTCGCAAGGTAAGTTGGAAACAAGCCTTTCCATGGAGACTGGCTCCGTTTCTCCTCCACTCGGTTTGGGGTGTATTTTTACGCTCGGTTCTGCTGTGCTGCTTTCTTCCTGTCGGGATTCTAAGAGCCCTCCTCGTTCCCTTTTACTTTTGAGAAGCAATGGACACGCCGAAGCCCTCGGGCTCTGTGCCTGCCCAGCCCGGCGTGTGTGCTCGCTTCTCCTACAGGCATTTACGAGCCGGCGGCCCGCGGAGGACGAGTGCGGGGGTAGAAAGGAAGTGCCCGCGGGAGAAGGGAGGCAGAGAGCGCCAAGGGGGCCGGGGAAAGGAGAGAAGGGGAGCGCAGGGGGCCGGCCGGATTCCCCCTCGCCCCTTTTTCTTCCCAGTGTGGGTCAGGGAAAGCAGAGCGCCCATCGGTCTGGGTTTTGAAACCCATCCCCCAAACGGGGCAGTTTTCTCCCTGGCACCCAGTGGATGCAGATGCAGGCGCCGCTGCTGTGTGTCGAGCTCTGGAACCAGAGCAGAGTGGGGAATGAGACTGTCACCAACAGTTGCTGAATTTTTGCCAGCCTACAGCTTGCGGCTTGGGGTAAATGACTTCCCTTTAATAACACCCCCTCGCTGGTGGCTGGTCGGAAGGGACGGCGCAACGTCTGATTGCTAATGCAGCTGGAAGTGACACACAGCGGGTGAAGCCATCCCAGCAACCGGGAGAGTTCCTATCTTCCCTGGTAATGAACAGCCTCCCTGCAGGGCGGCTTTGAGGCTGGGCTCCGATTTAAGAGGCTTGTTTGCTCAAGCCCACTGCTACATCCCCTTTGCTGGTATTGAGCTAGATGGCTTCACCTGCCTCTAATTTATTCGTTTTTCACAATATGTCCTTGTTTTTGTGCCTCGAATTTCAGGGGGCACAGGCTTACGAATGTGAGTAGGACCTCCCTAATCTGGTGAAAAGGGGGTACTATGAAAAATAAGAAGAGAAGAAGTAAGGATTTGAAATACCCACCTAGAGAGCAGTGTGCCCTGGTCCTGCAACTGACGTTTCTCCTTGTTAGTTTCAGAAGCGATTCCTGGGAGACAGAATTACTCTCAGTAAACTGTGAGCATCCATGATTCATGGATGATTCAAGGAACACGGTGGGGTTAATTTACGCTTCCAGTCTCGTAAAAGGGCGCAGATACTAGGAGTATGCTTTCAGACAGACAAGGCCAATTGAGGATGCTCACTGCCCCCTTTAATGGGCCCTGTAAAGACGTGGACAGTAAGGGAGGATTTGCATTCCGTCTCTGAAGCTCTGGCCTTCCTGTAGTCCCACTAACCCAATAGTTAATGGAGTCGGCTTCTTTCAAACTGCAGGCAATTTTTTTTTCTCTGACTGTGATTTCTGAATTATCATTGGTTCCCTGGTTTATGATAGGAGCCAAAAAAAACCCCAAAAGATAATAACCAGCCACTTAGATCCTGCCACTTTCCCGTAAATGTGTCAAAAAATGAGCCAATTTACAATGTGTAATGTAAGAAGCCAATTAATTCCAGTGACCTTTGCAAATGGTAACAATAAAGCAGGTCTTCTGCCAGTGTGCTAGCAGCTTCGATTTTCCCTGTGCGGAATGAACAAGTTTAGGGAGAGGTCTCCGGCTCCGATGAAAACCGAATGGGGCTGAGGCTTTAGCTCGCGGTATTGGCAGGCTCGCTCCGCCTGCCTCACACGCACTTGCAGTCTATAGAAAACACACAGTGGATTTATTGCAGAGAGAAAATGCCGTTTTACTTGCTTTTCTGCTCCTCATTAGAGGTGTTGCGTTGGCCACAGAGCAGACTTGGTATTTGGAGCTGCCTCCTAAGTTTCTAACCTAGAGGAAGGGCTTGAAGCAGACTGTCAACCTCCGATTTCAAACTCCTGTAGAATGTAGCACTGCGGTATTGATTTCAGCATTTCTTAGACCTCTTCCGGGGAAACTTTCCATACCAAACACATGCATCCTTAAATCCTACCCAGCCTGTTATAAAACTGCAACCAATGACACCTAAGAACAGCAGATTCACGCCTTAACCTTGGCGAAGCTCACATAAATGCGTATACTGTGGATCACGGAGCTCAATAGTGTGTCCACTGGAGTCTGAGAAGTGCAGTCAGGCCAGACCCCCGGGGCTGTTACCTGATGTGTGTGCCAGTGAGTCTGGCAATCTGATCGGCACCTGCCCATGTCAGGTGATGAACATGTGAGCACCCCGGGGAGGCTTAGCTAGAGCCTGCCCCTTCCCCCCCCACCTGTCACATAGCTACAACAGAAATAATCGCTCTCAGGCAAGACAGGCTTCAAAGGGACATCTTTTCAGGGTGTCCGTTGTCACAGGCAACATGCTGAGTTAGAATACTGATTAGTACATGGAATTTTTTCTTTGGTTGTGGTTGTTGCTGTCAATGGCTTCATACACAGTATTATCAGACTTCTAGGCTGGCAGTTTAGGGACGTATGAAAAAGATGATTGACTTGTGATTCACTTGCTGTATTTTATTCTTTCTTTGTTCTTTTTTTACACCCACTGCTTTTTTTTCCCCCTTGGCCGCAGAATGGGTTTGATGGTCTACTTTCCCTCAGCCCCACCCTGAGTTTGTCCTGAGGGCAAACTGTGTGTCATGTGGCACTGTGATATGTATGGCAAACTAAGTTGATCAGAAAGGTTGGAAACCCGAGTTAAAAAAATAACACCTCTGTCAGTTACACGTTATTCCTTAATTGCTAGTCCCTGAAGATGGTCACAGCGGAAGTGTGTGTTGATGAATCTCAAGATCGCTGAAAGGAAGCTAATGGCATGCTAAACACGGGCCCCTCCCTGCAGCCTCAGCGAGGGTGCCCCCAGAGCGTCCCCGAGACCCACGCTGCTCCAGCCAATCTGGAGAAACAGCGGACACACCTGCAGCCCACTCGGCGGTTGCACGGAGACCTGGTTCTGAGGGTTGAACCACCCGCGTACCCCTGCCTGGTCCCATGAAACGAAGACGAGCAGATAGCGCGAGGCAGAAACTTGGAAGGCCTGCCCACACTGTCCCAGAGGAGGCCCTGACAGGGCCGTGCGGGGAGCACTCAGGGCAGCATCCCTGGGCGGCCCCTGCACCGGGGCTGTTCGGAGCTGGCAAGCCCCTCCCCACCTCTTCTGATACAGTGGTGTCTGCTTGGACACCTGGACAGTGCGACGGGATCACAATGGTCCCTTAGGCTGCAATATCAAAGGAAATCAAATTCTGAAGCAAAGAAAGTAGGTGGTGCCGGAGGACAGAAAGTCACAGGGAGAAATCCCAGTGTTTTCTGTGACTTGATGGAAGGGACAGAAAGAGATCCCAGGAAATGTGACTCAGAGCCGTTGAGTCCAGGGGTAGCAAGGAAGACCAAGTCCCATCTCCAGTCTTAGTGGAGAGATATGCCCCCCCCCACGCCACCTGCCGTATCTGTGTAATTGTCAGGTGTGTGCACAACTGCTTGCTCTGGTGTTCAGTTCTCTTGGGCTGTAATGAGGGCGGGTGATATTTTTAAAGGTGCAATTCATAAATGTGCATTGCATAGCTTCAGTATAGGGGAATGAAGACAGGGAACAGGTTTGCATCCAATAATTGAATTCTAGGATGGAAAAGGACGTTTTGTGGTCAGTCTCATGTGCTCATTTCACAAGTGAGGAAACTGAGCCCCAGGGCTATAACGTCATTGCCCCAAACCACAGAGCTTGTTCTTGGCTGCCTGGGGTAGAAAGCCTGAGACGGTTCCCACATCACCCCACTAAAATGCTGACTTCTAGGTCTCTCAAAGGCAGTATTTTTTTTTTCAGAAAGGGGGGGAACAAGTCCATAGATATATGCCAAAATAAAATAAAATTTGTAGGCAATGTCTTTAGATCTGCAAATATCTAAAAGCAAAAGCAGACATTCGATGGCAGAGGCAGTAATGATGTGTTGGGTATACAACACCCAAACACCAGAAACCCATAATTCATCCTTTGGATACTCCGCTATCTTCTGTCATAAAAATTAGAGCTTTGCCTTGTTTTTAAAACACCTCAGTAATAATGGTGCTATGGCTCTCCTGCAGAGACTCAGCCATGGGTGGTCCCCTGGGAGTTTTCTAGGAATCCTGGGGACTTCCCGCATCCTCTCTCACTGGGTTTCGCTGTAAAGCACTCCCCGCATCCTCTTTCCATGCGCGACCCTTCTCAGGACCCCTGCTTCCCTTCCCTACTGCACTCACACTGAAGAACTGGGAGGACATTTTCAGGACGGGGGCCCTCTCTCCCTGCTGTGTCCCCCGCCCTACCTCACCTCTTCCTTTCCAACGCTCACGTGCCCGTCTTGTGGGCACCTCCTTAACGTCACAGCCCTTTTTGTTTTTCTTCTTGGCAAATGGCTGTCTGTTTCTAAATATGCTCTCCAAATTTTACTTAAGATGATAGTCATGAACTGACTCAAAAACTTTGGGGAAGTAAGGAGGGACACACACACACACAAACAGCATAATTGTGAATATCTGTTTGGAGCTCTACCATTTAGAGAGCACGTCACACCAGCCCAGGGAGGGAGGTGTGAGGATAATCAGCTTTGTTGGAGACTGGAGGAGGTGGCCCCGTGAGGTTGGGGAGAGGCCGCAGTCAGGGGACTCACGTGGGAGCATGGGGGTCTTCTGACGCCCGAGGGGCACCGCACGGGTCCACAGAGGCACTCTGCGCGTCTGCTGGCAAAGATGCGTCCCTCGTTCCCGAACTCCCACTCTACACTCACACCGCCTTTGCACCGTATCACACTCTGTGGGGATAGACTTTCACAAAGAAAAATCTGTACTTCTTAAACCACAGCTAATGAGATGCCTGAGTTAAACAAGACAGACACAACCAACATCTATTCTTGGAGAAGAAGACTGCGTCTTGTTCTACCTCCTCATCCATATGTTTGTCTGACAGCATTAGCACTTTGATAAACAGATACTTGGCAAAGGTTTCCCCAAAATGGATAAAATGGGCTG